GATTATAAATTAAACTGGTTTGTTTTAAATTTAAAAACTGTATATTTTAAACAATTGTAGTGTAAATAAAATACAATGAGTAAATATCATGTGTCATAACTTAACTAGGATTTCAGTATCAAAATTTAAAAAAATGTGCTAGGGACACAAAAAATTGTTTTATTGTCATCATAAATTGATTCATTATGATTATTATTCAGATTTATAGTTTAATTTTAGAAAAATACTGAATAAAAAAACAAATTTAACAACAAGTTATAATATAATTAAACAAGTTATAACTGAAAAAAAATTATAGTAATAACTAAATCTTTTCTAGTATTTTTCATTTAAATAATACTTGTACAGTTGCTGAAGTCTCAATTAAAATTTCAATATCTCAACTTCAGACACTTTACCCAAAACCTAAAATTTAAACTTATTTAAAGATGTCTGCCATTTAACCTTTGGCGGTCACAAATGAGCGATTTTGGGAGAATATTTCTTCCATATAAACCTTTTTCCACTCTAATAATGCAGTGAAGCTGGTTTTGCTATGCATGCAGCTCTGCAGCTTTTACTATGCAGAGATGCATGCAGTAAGAAATGCGATTTTGCGACAGCCAAAGGGGTGAAAACTAGTAAATGTAGAATCAAAACAAGTTTAGTGCATAATTCACAATACAAAAATGCTTGTTCTTATTTGTTCAAAGAATTTCATAAAGCAATTGCTTAATCATGTAATATTTGAAGCAAACACTCATCACAATTGGCAAAAGTAAGCACAGTCAATTTACAAAGTCAATCTCAAGCTACAATATTAACAAATATTTTATTAGTACTGTTTATGTTTTTTCAACATAATACGTAATCATGGAAATTCCTTCAAATATGATTCATACCATTTATATTGACTGTACAAATACAAACATTTCTAGGCAGCTCTATATATATATATCATTATTAACACACAAAATTTACAGGTGTACAATGCAAGCACTTACCAACATATTGATAAAAACATACAAAGTTACAACAATCGTTTAAAACGTTTAGTTGAAAAGTTAGCAATTTAAAAAATCCTTATGTACAAGACTGGGACGAAAAATATCTCAAATAAAAGTTTAAGCAGTGAATCTTCAATTTTTTGATTCAGAATTATAATTTGCGCATTTAAAATATCAATTTTAAAAAAATCTTATTTATTTATATAATTTATTTAAAATAAAATAATTATTAGAAAATCCCAGATTATGATGACATTTGCATTTTTTGAGATTTTCTGCCATTTCTTTTCATTTTAGGACACTTTTTTGTCTTTTAGATAACTTTATCAAGATTTGTAATTCTTGATAAAAGTATAATCTTGTTTTCCCTTAATATTACTTTTTTCCACATTTAACTTTTATTTTAAATTTTAATAACAATTGCATCCCCATTTTGACTAAAATTTGTATACTAATACAATTATATATTACTTTAAAAAATAAATATTTCTGATTGAAATTCTTACTTCATTAAAAGGGAACTTTTCTATTTGAAAGAAATATTTAATTTTTTAAAGGCATATTTTCCTATTTAAAGGATATTTTTCACAGATTATCAAAATCCAGGCTCTACTTATTTGCATATCTGTATTAATCCTTTTCATATCTCAGGATATTTTTTTAAATTAAATTTTAAGAAAAAAGTTCACAAAGGAAGCAAATTTACAGCTATAACACAAGAAAATTGAAGCTATTAGTAAAAAAAAATGGCTGGTTTTTTCAGACGAATGCATGTTCATTTGTGTCTCAAATTAAAATATTATTTGCAAAAAGGTGAATGAAAGATACAAAACCTGAATTAATTTTTTAAAGAAGAAGAAAAAAACATAGCATCATTCCTTTTCTTTGCAGTTGGCACGTGAGTTAACCTACGAATCAAATAGTACAAAATATTTTCACAAAATCAGGGGAAAGCTACTTTTGGCTATACTACAGCACCTGACGTTTCAAAAGAATTATTGGACATATGTTGAGTTTAATCAGCAGTTCACAACACTCTAATGGGACATAAAATATGAATACACGTACATGAAATACAATGAGGATGATTATGAGGGCTGCTTAGAATAATTAACTATTTATAATCTTCAAATAATGATCTCTATGTCAGTAGTATAAATATCAAAGCGATCCAGAAGCATTTTACATGAGCAAGAAAAAAAATAATAGTTTCAAAATTCATAAACACACCTGATTTATCATCCAAATAATGTTTGTGCTGATTTATAAAAGAAAGCAAATATTATATGATTTCAATTGGCAATTTATTAATATTCGTCGGCATATGATGTGATATATGACTTTTCTGTTAACAAATGTGAAATAATAAATATTGTAGCGAATAAAATGTAATGCTAGTTATAAACCCAAGATAAAAATGATAGATTACAGTTAAGAAATATATAATCACAAATTATATGTGAAATATTTCTTCAAATGCAATTTAATTATTAACGCTAATTAGTTTTTCATAAATTTTGTAATGATTTTCACATCTTATACAAATCAATATTTATACTTCAACAGCAATATAATTACATTTCAAATATATTAAATAAAATATTTACTAATCTGATAAATGTAGACTAGCAGCAAAATATTATGAAATCACTCAATACAATAGAATTAGACCGGTAAAAAAGATACACACATACAGTAGAATAAAAGTATCACAGAAATATTAGTACATGCACAGCTTTAATTTAAAAGCAACAACAAAAAAAAGTTAAACTACAACTCGATTAGAAAAAATAAATTTTTTTTTACAGCCAAACTCTTATTACAAGCCCTAATTTAACAAAGAAATTTTTAATAAACAGTGAATTTTTAAAAACCGTACACAAAAAGCGGTTACTAGAAGCATCCTGGGCAAAAAATAATAAATGGCCCACTAAAAATAATAAATAGCCATTAAACTATTTTATTACAAGATCTAATTTAACAAGAATATGTTTAATAAATGGCTTAATTTTAAAGAACATATATAAAAATCTGTCACTACAAGTATTCTTGGCATTTAACGAGGCATTTTTATGAACTTTTTGAAAATGATTTCATTAAAAGAGTATTTAATAGTTTAAGGAAATTTAAATTCCTTTTAAGTGTCTGAAAACACTTTTTAACTTCAATTTGTTAAAAATTGCAGATAGATAAGCAGTAAAGTAAAACAATGTGAAATCTTTCATATATTTTTCCATTAATACATAATTTTAAAATTAAAATTGAAGCTCAATAGTTTAATGAAATTTCATTTCCTTTTAAGGTTTTAAAAACACTTCTTTACTTCAATTTGTTAAAAGGTACGCATTAATGGGAAACAATATGAGCTCCTTCATACATAACATGAATTGCACAACCAGTTGAATCCAAAAGCATGACTGATAAGAAATTATGGGAGGTGTTTGCAATAACTAACAGATCTTGCTATTCAAATTATTGTATAGATTATAGACCTCCTGCTCCTTCTGTTGTCCACAAGACAATGTGCATGTACCTGCCCAAATGTTTGTGTTCAGTTTACAATCACAGTAATGAAGAAGGTACAATTACACTACCACCATCTGCATTTGAAAAAGAAAAAAAACTTTTTTTTAAAAAAGGGATGCAAATTGTTCTAGTGTTAGAAATAATATATTTTACCCCACATGCGTTGTATGTTGAGAGTAATCGCTGAGGAAAGACACAAAAAATAATAAAAAAAATTATACATTATTCCCTTTCAGTGCAAATAAAAGGTTAGCAATTTTAAGACATGTTTGTTAATTTTTGTGCGTTATAACTTTTCTTTTTGATCATTTCAACAGGGATTAAAAAACAAATAGACTCTGTAGCTACCTTTTATTATAACAGAGTTTGGCTGCATTTACTTCCAAGCGCTATACAAGAAAATACTAGTCATGAGGAAATATCTAACAGAAAAAAAGATAAATTTATTTTGCTAGTGCATGCCAACCAGAAATCAACAAATAATTTAACATTTTTAGAAACCAGTTTGGCATAAAATGAAAAGTGCTTTTTACTTTGCTTTTAAAATTTGAAAACATTTTTTTTTATAATCACCAGTCTATGGCTTTTTAGATGTTGTGGCGACAAGGCTTAGTAAACCCCTTAATGTAATAATAAATAGTTTTATTTTAATTAATTTTTTATTTCAAAAAATTTTTTTAAATTTTTTTCTCATATCATCAACTGTTAACAATGGAGAGAGCAAAGCAAATTTCTTTGAAAAATACTTTTTCCTTTGATTAAAGAAGAAAAATTGAACTTAATTCAAATTTTAAAAAAATTCTTTTTCAATATTATATACAAGATAAAAATAATTACTAAAAACTAAACAAGTTTCAAATTTTTGTAAGTGAAATAAAATACTTAAACATTGGCTTTGGAGATAAAATGCAAAAAAAAAAAAAATAAATAAAATAAAAAAAATAAAAAAATTCTAGTATAAGTTTTAAAAAGGAATTTCCAACATCATGTGCAAACAATTCAGCAAAAAATTTTTAAACACAAATAAACAATTAGATATTTTAATTCAGAAGCTAAGAAATATATCTGTTTATAAATCCCATAATTTATCTGATGATATCACTTTATCTTCATTACATTTATAAAAACAGTGCCAAACAAACTAATAAGTAAACTTTCATTTACAATAAAAATTTACAAAATAAATATGAACGTATCATTAAAATAAAACAAAAATAAAAATTTCTGCATTACATGCCGATTTTGATAAATTTGAATTTCATGAAATCCGATTTTTATTTTCTCTTGTAAGACTAATAGTCAGTTCCGTTTTAAATGAATAATACCCATATAATAGTTACAAAAGATTTAGAAATGAAAAACATGCATAAAATGTAATTATTGAAGTTGTGTATTGTGAAGTAAAAAATAATTTGGAGAAATTTTCGTTGCAATTTTAAACTGTGTAACTGTATGTATGTATCATTATAAAAAAAAAAGGTCAAACCATTGAGCCCTCCTAATTTAATCTCATAAAATCTATAAAACTGACAGCACCATTATACAGAATCCAATTTATGACATTAAAACAGCAAAAACCAAGTTATTATCAACAACAAAAGAGATTATTTTTTGGTAGTTCACAGAATTCATAATGATCAAATACAGAAATGTAAGCACTGGTGCAGCTTTAATGACAGTTTGGTGAATCTGTGATAATAGTACCTTTAATGAAATGGACAAAGATATAAAAAGATCATTTTTTTCAACAAAAAATTAAAAAAAAGCTGACTAAAAACTATTTTACAAATGAGGTAATTATGATTTAGAAAAATCAAAAAATCTATGGGCTCAATTGCAAAAAAAAAAAGGCTAAGATGACTTAGAAGTAAGAAATAAAAACATGAATATACAGAAATGCAATTGATACCGGTGCTGATATACAGATAGATATTATCTGTCTAATCTTATATTTGATATATTTATATATTTACAACAGTTTGAAAGTGCATACACAGTCATATTTAGAGCATGGATGTGTATTCACTATCACATACATAAACATGCAATAATTAAAAGAAAATGCAAAAAAAAAAAGATAACATAATACAAAATAAATATTGTGCCAATCAAAGATTATGCATCAGTTTCTCCTCTTAAACGCAATCTAGCAAAATCTTCAAAAATAAGATCATCATCTTCATTATCGGCAGCAACATCCCTGCACATAAAAAAAAGGAAGTAAGTTTCAGATAAAAGACTTTAATTAGAATAATTTAAAAAGAAAAAAATTTAAGTTAACACATTAATGGTTGCAAATTAATATTGAAACAAAGGAAAAAATGATAACAAATCACCAAATATAACACTATTGAGGAAGGCAAAACTGAAAATGTTAAAACTTGTTTAATAGAGAGGAGTTGAGAGGCGATTGTTAAAAACTCCCCATATTTTTATCTGGCTATCAAACTGATTTTTATAAATTTCCTTTCTTGAGTGAGTCAGCAAATTTAAAATGGTTTTAAAAAAAATATACATTAAGAGTGGTAATTACTGAACAGCCTGTACATATTTAGTAAAATTATACTTTTAACTATGAGGATAGATTGACCTTGAAATAAATGCTTGGATATATATCACCAAAACCTGATAGATTCTGAATACAATAAAATACGAATAATCTGAATTGATCACTGAGTTCAATTCCAAAAATGTCTATAATGCTACTTCTTTCAATAAATTCCATGAATAAGGATAAAGTAATGAAAAACGTTTATAACCTGAATGTCTACAATTTGATTTTTCGATACTGTTCCGGAAACATCAAACTCAATTAGAGATTTTTTTTTCATTGTTCTACATTAGATATGCTTATTTAATTTTTTTGATAATTGCAATAATGATGATAAAAAAAAATACTTGATTCCTAAACATACAAACACATTCATTTTTCCTTTTTTTTAATTTCAATTTAAAAAATTAATCAACAAACTTGATAAAATGGTATCTACAGTGAACATTTTATGGAGATCACATGTTTACTAAATTTGAATCACTGATTCTGTAACACCCAGGTAAAGGTGAAGCTTGACAGAAAGAGAAACTAACTATTTCTGTTAACTTTTTTTCTGGTTGCATTCTTAAAGAAAACTATATATAAGCTAAGATGCATGCTTCCTCAAGTTCCTAAAAAATTAACGATAACTTATGAAATTAAAATTTAAAAAAAAAAACTGTTTTGGGATAGGGAAAGGTACGAAGAATTGAAACAGACCAATTTTGTGTAAAAATACTAGCTTAGGAAACAAACCAAAATGAATGGAAAAAAAATATATTTAAAGAAAATTTTAAAAAATAGTTATGAAAATAATTAGAAATATACAAGCATTTGTAATACAAAATACAGAAATCCTTCTTCAAATAGAGAATATTACAAAAGTAGATTGTATTCTTTTTTTGTAAATTAAATTGAACAAATATCTGAGACCAATATAATTGTACAGCTTGTTCGCATATTTAATGATTCTAATATATTTGGTGCCCTTAATTCCGGGATGAGATTAGCCAAAAGGCAAAAAAGCTGAATTTCTACGATAGTAAATTTTACGCAACCGCAACCCTTTAATAATAAATTCCAGACAGTTTAAGGTAATAAATAATGTGTTGACATACAATTGTGTACTAATCTATTATTATATAAATGATTACATTGATACTTAACATTTAGTGTAAATAAAAATTACCAATTGAAAAAATAAAGCTGGAAAAAATATATTTTTCCTCAGTTCACATAAGAGACAATTATTACTTGAAAAACTACCTGGTTTAGCAAATTAAAACTACTGAGAATATACATTAATATTTCATTTCTTTTAATAAATACTGTTATGTGATTTATAGCAAATATATCAGTAATATTACTTTTTAAATTATATTGG